TATAGCATCCATACTACTTTAGGCAGAGTACCAAGTCAGGAACCTAATTATCATACCTAACTCCACCAAGATTTCCTGAAAACTATGTAGTGCATTTATGCATGTGAACACAACCACCATGCTCCTTTCATATCCTACCAAAATTAGAATTGTTAGCTCTGATGAGGTTACGTTTTTGGGTGAGCTAGTGGCTGTGCGCTGTGCATGAGCCAACGGAACCTGGTTTATTCTCATCACAATGTACCCAGCTTTCATCACCGGTGGTAAATCCGCAAAGAAGTCCTTAGGGTTTGTGCAAAAGTGTCACAAGGATGTTGACACGCGCCTGTTATCGAGCATCGGAGAAAAAAAACCCCGCGGGAAGGTTGTCATGCACTTGTGTGTTGATAGCTTCTATTAGTGAATGGGGATTTTTCAAAACTTTGAATTTTTGTCGGCGAACTTACCTGTCAACCTAGTAATTTTGTTCTTGTTGCCATAAGGCGGCAGTTTGCGAAACATCTTTGATAAAGTTTCCATAGTTCTCTTATGATCACAATATCAACAAGAAAATCACCTTTGAGAAGTACCTTATTTAGGACTTACCCTTTCCGGATCTACTTCAGGTAAACTGCGTATGGCTTCGACTGCAGCCAGCAGACGTTTCTTCAGAAGGCCCATTCTGTCAGCTACCAGCGGTTTCATTAAAGCAAAGTTCTCCTGCACAGTTCCTCCTTTCTTGTCTTTTCCATAGACATCGGCTGCAAGGGCGACGAAGCCCAACTAAACACAATTGGTTCAATGTTAAAGCAGGGGCAAATAAAAGAAATAAGGACAACACTAAGAACGGACTTCAAGCTGACTGTTCAAGGCTGCGAGGAAAGGTTCAATCAAATACTGGCTGAAGAGGGTTTCTTATTGATGAAAAGGATAATGCATAGTCTTCGTCACTGATCAATTTATTTCGGGATGCGGCACGCATTCTACTTCCATTCAAAATCGTAGTGGCTTATTGAATGCGATGTGGCCTATACATGACTCGCGAGAGACAGCTGAGTCCGGGCGCTGTCTATCGACGGGGTGGGGGG